AATGACAGAGGTAACAAAATTGAAAATTGAGAATAAACTTTATTTAAAACATTTAATATTCATAAGAGAGCAGAAACTCAGATTTATGCCTGATTTTATAGATGTATTTTTTAGATTTATATACATTTTACATTAATATTATATATAAATATTAAAATAATGTCATAAATTTACATGCAAATATGAAATATTTTAAAATATAAAATATATATATGCATCTTATGTTTATATATGTAAATGTTTTCAAAATATTATTTTGCTCTTCATTATTAATTGGTTTAATATATATTTAAATATATGAAATAGCATATATTACTTGTAAATATATTTTTGATAACATGGAATTCAGGATAGTAAGAAAGTAGGGAGGAAGCATGCTTAATGAACAGCTAATTTTAATGTCTTCTTGATCTAAACAAAAAAATAATCAAAATTCTGCATCTTCTCAATAAATGTTTATTCTGTGTTTTAAGTCTCAAAAAGTTATGGTAAAAATGTTTCACAAAAAATATTCTTTATGTGATATTACAATTATGATTACTGATTGTACTATTAAGTTCTTGCTGGTCTACTAAGCATTAGTAAGCATGAAAAATTTTTGTGCTCTGTGTAAGAATGCTGAAAAATGTAGATTTTCTCAAGAGATATGAGTAACAACTTTCATTATAGTTTGAGAAAGAAATTCTAGTATTTGTATATTTTTGTTTTAAATAAATTTATCATTGAAGTTCTGATAAATTTCACTTCTAGAACGCATGAAAATTTAAATTTAGAAGCTATATATTAACACATTAAAAAAATAACATTAAAATTGTCATTTTTAAAATTCCAAAATTCTTAGCTCTAACTTGTGCTTTCAAAATATCAGGAAGCATAAGAGAAAAGGAAAATAAGACATTCTTTGTACTGTTTTAATCTAGTTCTTGAACTAACTAGCACCCCCAAGGGACTGGAGGAAAATGACATTGTCAATTCATTTTTCTAGTTAATAATTAATATTTTTAATATGACCTGACCAAGTGCATAGGCTCCTTTTTCTTTATAATTTAATTCTGTCCTCAAATCTATTCAAATATTACCTATTTTAGGTTATCTATTGCCTAATCCAATGCTTGCCAATTTTTCAAAAAGATTAAAAAAATGTAGCTTTAGTTGGTAGTTTGCTTAGAAAAGAATATTACCTATGGTCACTTAAATTCAACTTTCCCAAAACTTCTTTATAAAAGCTGCCAATTAATCCTGCTATAGGAGCCTCTGGGCTCTACAGTGAACATAAATTTTCTTTTAAAATCGCCAATTTCACAATAGGAATTTCAGTATTTTGCTAGGAAAATGATTGGGTTGTTGGAAAAGTCATGACACATTTTTGCAACGAAAAACAGAAAAAATATGACTTTTCTGACAACCCAATAGTATTGCCTGGTTGACCAACGTGTTCTATTTAGTGTACTGCTTCATCAAGTGCTAACATGCACATCTCTGTGACTGATGACTGCTGAGTCTCCTCCTGCTCATAAATTTCCAAACATTTTTCTTACGTGGAGTAAGGTGTTATATAGACACATTTCAATGACATTTAAATTAATTATACAGCAGTAATTAGAGGGTAAGAAAAAAATTGTGATGCATCCCATTTCTTTGAAATTGTGTAAACAGAATCCTTTTCCACATGATGTCCCAACTAAAATTTAGGGATGTGCCAACACTTAAATATGTAAATCCATTTCATTTGAGTAAATATTCAGTTCCATTTATCTTTTAGCACATTCTTAAGTAGCACCTTAATAAAATTTAAATTGATTTTGTTTAATTTTATAACTTTAAAATATAATCTACTATGAGTCACTTGAGCATCACTTACATTGCTTGTATCAAATAAATTTAAATTTATGAACGTATAATGATACTAAGCAAACAAACTCCATCATTGGTCACCTTTGGAGGATATTACGGAACCAACTCATTATTCTGAAAATCAGTAAATAACAAGAAAGAATAAAACATTTATTCTGCTTTTCCATTATGAGATGTAGCTCAGGACAACCAAATGGTTGATGCAAATTTCTCTTTTTATAAGTAACTGAATAAATGAAAAAGGAATGCCAATTAAAATAACACCATTTGGTAACCCTAAATTAATGAATGGATTTAAATAAAGATCAATGGCTTCAAACATCACAAAAAGAGAAACAACCAGGCTTATGTACCTCCTGATAGAAATATACACTATCATCTATGAGATTGTCCTTTGAACCTGAATCTGATCAAGCCTCTAGATCTACTGATCAATTTGTAGAAAATAAAAGAAATGCAGAAAAGACAAAGTCCTATGTTAAATGACAGCATGAAGTGCAATTGGCAAAATTCATACTGTGGAAAGTATAAAACTAACAACTCAGTTTCTTGCACAAGTAAATTGCAAGGAAAATATAAAGAGATGGATAAATTCAGACATAATATTACATCGTACTTTTAGACAATATTTTTAGTATTTGTGTTCCAGAGATGTTTCCCATCAATTCACTAATAAAGAATTAAGATAGAGGGGGCAGCCGGTTAGCTCAGGTGGTTAGAGCTAGGCTCATACCAAGGGTGCCAGTTCAATTCCCACATGGGCCAGTGAGCTGCACCCTCCACAACTAGACTGAAAACAATGACTTGACTTGGAGCTGATGGGTCCTGAAAAAACACACTGTGCCCCAATAGTTTTAGAAAAAAAAAAAAAGAATTAAGATAGAGATACAATGTACCTTTCTAAGTTTTAAGCTACTATTTCTCTTTTCTAAGGTAATAATAACAATTATAAAACTCAAGGTAGAAAGCAGTCTCTTTTTCCACTGAGGGAAAAACAAAAGCATGTAAAATTCTTTACATCCTCAGATAAGGAAAGACAATTTTTCCATTCTTACCCTGGAGTCCTGTATTATTTTTCTAGGGCTGCCATAATAAAATACCACAGACTGGGGGTGTTAACAGAATTTTCTCACCGTTCTGGAGCTAGAAGTCCAACATCAAGGTGCTGACAGGTTTGGTGTTTTCTGAGGCCTTTCTTCTTGGCTTGCAGGCCACCTTCCTGTTGTGCCCTCACATGGTCTTCTATGCGCGTGTGCCCCTAGTGTCTCTGTGTGCCCCAATTATCTCTTCTTATAAGGACACCAGATTGGATTAGTGTCCACCCTGACAGCCTTATCTTAACCTAACCACCTCTTTAAAGACCCTATCTCCCGATACAGGCATATTCTAAGGTCAGGGCTTCAACATGAACTTGGGGGTCGGGTGGGACATAATTCAGCCCCTAACAAGTCCATTCAGAATCTCACTGTATTTATTTGTAACATCAATATCATATTAACTGCTTAAATGGTTTGATAGTTTTAAAAAGTCCATGTTTGACTTAAAAGCTAAACACTTGAAGCTCATGGAATTACGCAAGCTACACTTTGCAGTCTGTATCCCAACATTCCTAATCACTCCTTGACTCTCAGACTCTAATTATTGACCTGTGCTCACCAATATGGTAGCCACATGTAACCAACGAGCACTTGAAATGTGGCTGGTCCAAATTGAGATGTGTTCTAAGTATAAAATACACTGGATTCCAAAACCTTTGTAAGGAAAAAAAAAGTAGACTATCAATAATTTTCATATTGATTACATATGAAAATATTTTGTATATATAGATTACTAATTTCATTTGTTCCCTCTTACATTTTAAAAAATGTGGTTAGTAAAAAAAAGTTTTAAAGTTATGTATGTGGTTTGCATATTTCTGTTGGATGGTGCATTCCAAAATGCAGCTATGTGTCATTAGACCAAATACTTGCTTTGTGGGCTCTCTTAGACTTCCAATTTAACTCTTCCCAAGAATCCCTTCCCTCTTCTCAACCCCACTAATTACCTGCGTACAGAATTCTAGAACTATATCCAGTCCTTAATTCACATGTCAAACCTAAGGAACTCTTGCCACTTGTTAGGAAGACAATTTGTAATGTAAACTTAAGAAATTTGAGATTTGTTGTGCTTATTGAAATTCTAAATGATAAGTAGTCCTGTTACATTTCCTTTTTCCTCAAATACAAGAGAAGTTATAAGAACAGCAATTGACAAAGGTATTTTTTTCCTTTATGAGTATTAAAAATACTTAATCCCTAATTTTATCAAAACACTAAAACTAAAATTATGAGAATTTCAAGAAATTTTGCAATAATTATTTTATATACTTGAAGCTGCTAAATCTTATGACAGGGTAGATATTCTTGTTTTAAAGTTCACGTTGAGCAGTTGAGAGGGGAAATTGTAGACAGTATTTCAGGATCAGTAGCATCATTTTTCAGGAACATAGTATATGGTTAACATTCATCCTGTTTAAAAGTATTTATTTTCCATTTAAAAATAACATTGCTGGGTGTAACTTAGAGTGCTCGAACTTGAATCCCCAGCAGGAACTGGAATATTTACAGATTGAAAGCCTTTTAAAATTTGTTTGCTACACCCTGCTTTAAGCACTTCTATATCTGGGAAGGAGAAAAAAAAAAAAGAGCTTAATTTGCAGAGTGAATGATTAAAGAAAAGATAAGAACTAACAGCCTTGTTACTTAACCACTTTAATTTTCAAAGTTAATTTTGGATACCTATGTTGAATTACACCCCCAAACCAGCTAGATCTATCTAAAATATATGAGTGCAAAAAGCACCTTTCTCTCAAATTCCTAACCTTAGTTGACAAATTTTAAACTTATATTCATGAGGGAAAAATGTAAATAAATTGCAGTTTCTCAAATATATTATCAAGTTCCATCGTTAAAAATTTTCATTTGTGTGCATATAACTCAATTTCCATGGATATAATTTTATATCCTAAGTATAATGTCAAGCATAACTTTTGAATCCCTTAACTAAATAAGTTATACTTACCATCAACACTTAAGATTTAAGATTTTTCTCTAAAACTTGCATTTTAAAATTAAATTTATAAAAAAATCCTATTTTAGCAAGCTTGATTATATCAACTGGTAAAACTTTATTTTACAAGCAATAGGAATTGGATCAAATGATTATAATCCAGACGAAGTATTTTATAACCATAGCAAATGCCATTATACATACTGCCAATACAGATTTAGTAGACAATACTGAACTGTACAAGAGTTATTTATTTTTCCTTAATCTCAAAGCTATTTTTAGTAATACAAAAAGCCATATTAACATTTTTCCATTAGAAAACAATGTGATGTACAAAACTTTGGATGAAAAGATATATGTCAAATCTCATTTAATCATTTGGTGGAAAACCCACCACACCATCAATACCACCCAAAGTGTTTTAGGCAATGATTAAAATAAAAATAATGCATCTTAATAAATTCAGCTGTTAAAAGAACAAACCTAGCAATATAGTTGGCTACACAGTATTTTCGACTAGTCAAGAGTTACTTTTAAAAATCCATTCTTTTCTGAGTCCTACCACATACCAGGAGCTGTACTTGGCCAAGTAGGTACTTGAGAAAAAGGTGGGAAAGACCCGATAAAGCAGTCCTTTGGTTACCAGATTTGACTTTTAACTTCCAAACATCCTCCAAGATCAAGAAACCCCAACTGAAAGTATACACGCTTCTAAATATTACTTGATTTTATTAGTGGGCAGGGTGTTTGATAAGCAGAGGTCATGAACTATTTATGACCTATTAATTCCAATTAAAAGCCCATGTCAAAAACTAATTTGATAGGAGTTTAAGATTTGGCATTCAGTTGTTACAAATGTGGTTAGCTGACTTACTATAAACCCTACAAGGCACACTGCTCAAACACTAAAGCATGTGTGCATAAATAACTTTTCTTTGTATTTAATGAATGGTATTTGATACACATCTTTATCTTAAAATTCAATTGAGTTTAGGGTCCAGTGGGGGGGAAAAATCCAGTTATGGGATGATAAAGAACAAAGAAGGTAAACTAGTGAGGATTATTACTATATAAGTATTACTCTCTATCTCTTTGAGTAACAAGATGCTAATACACTACCTTCATTTAAAAAACTGCTTGCAACTATTGAGTTGAGGCAAGTACTAAAGGCCCATAAATTGACAATGTCATCCATTCATCACCATTACTTCTTTACATAAGCCTGTTTTCCTAAGGTAGAACACATAACCTAAGCAATAATTTGGAAATTAGCCAAGCACTAAGCAATTACAACGGCAGGTAATACACCATCAATTTTTGAAACACATTTGGCCACTTTTCATGGCCCATCTGCAGTTTGGATTAGAGACTCAGTCATCAATTTAAGTTTCTGGACCTGCATGACAAAAAAATGCAGTTTTATGCAATTATCACATAAGACATTTAAATAGTCTTCGGGTCACACCGCTTTTGTATTAAATGATTTATTCTGACATGCTATATAACTACAATAAAAATACTTCAATTCAATTTTTAAATGAAAGCTAAATGCAAGTAAATGGGAACACATTTGACATGGAATGCTTTAAGATCTTCCTGTATATAATCTGACAAGGCTGATTATTTCAGAGTTTAACTTCAGATAAAAAAACCACAAGCTATTTTACTCTTGATGGCATGCAAGATCTTCCTCAAAATTATCCTAAGACCTAGAAGTCTCAGTATTTTGTCAGAACATAAAGAAACACAACAAATTTGTACATTTTATTCACATTTATTTTTCGCTTTTAGTGTGCTCACAGAAAATTAGAACACCTTAAGCAGGAGTTTAATAGCAATTTTTGTAAGCAAAGTTACATTCCATCTCTAAGTCAAATTGGTCAAAGCTTCTCCAGTATTTACAAAACATGATAGACAAGATGCTACACAAAACCATTGCATCTGAAGATTTTTTTCCTTTATTCTCAAAGACGACTGGAAAAGAAAGCATTGTCTGCTGTAATCAAAAACATACCACAGTATAAACAGTAACCATTCCACTTATCACAGCTTGGTTGAGTTTAAAATTTGTGTTTAAAAGGTCCAAGATGACTGTAGTTTTACAAAAATGGGCAGGGTGGAAAAGTTGCAAACTTCATGTGCTTCTGGATATCAAGATTTGTTTTTATACAATAGTCACAGTTAAAAACACCCTGCTGGTAATACATAATTACATTTTATTAAGGTCATAAACCAGCAATAAACAATAAAGCCTATACAACTTGTAGTTCTACTTAATCACTGACTGGTACAGCTAACATGAGATAAGTGAAAAGTTCCTATGGTTTAAATGAACTCCTAAGACTATGATCTTTTTTTTTAAATCTGGGTATTGGTGTTTTTTTTTTTTTCTCTCTTTCCTTCTTAGTCAAGACGTGTAGTGTTGTAAACCTGCCTCACAAAATACATCGTAATAACTTTTCTTAAAAAAAAAAAAAACGACTAAGCCTTTACACCATCATTTCTAGTGGCACATTATCTTGGCGATGCTCTGCACCACTTACATTTCCGCATCGTGGCCCCTCTCGCTTCGTCTGCTATCCCTTTTTGACCCACCCATCTCTCCTTCATATATGGGCATGTCCATAGATTGACAAAGAAAGTTTACATTTTTGAATAAAGATGCAAAGTATGCAAAAAACATTAATACTGATGCAAAAAAAAATAAAAATAAAAATAAAAGAGAAACAAGGCAGAGGAAGGTGTTTAAGCTCTCCTCGACCTGTTGGAATGGTGGTTAACAGAATGATCTGAGATGGGATCTGTGGGGAAGGGGAAAAACAAAATTTGCTGCTTAAAAAAAGTAGAAAAAAAAAAAAAAAGACATCTTTAAAATCAATCCCTGGTTGTAGACAAGTTCTCCAAAACCAGTACCTGGCACCACTCCAACAAACAAACGGGGGGAGAAAAGTTCTTCGATTATCTCAAAAACTCTGGCCCCTTTACTCTGCGGCCTCCGCCGGGGGGGCTTCTGGACTGCACTCGGGCTGGGCCTCCTGTGAGGGGGCTGCGCAGGCTGACGAGGCGGACGCGGCCGAGGCCTCCTCCGCGGGAGCTGCCTCCTGCTCCGGGGGCGCGCCGGGCCCCGCGGCTGAGGGCGCCTCGCAGGCGGCGGCGCTGGCCCCGGCCTCCTCCGCCTTCTCCTCGGCCTTGGTGGGCTCCTCGGTGGCCTTGGCCTCCTCGCAGGCAGGCGGCTTCTCGGGCGCGACGGCGGCCTCCTCGGACTTGCTCTCCTGAGGGTCGCCGCCCGCCGCCCCCTCCTCGCCCGCGGCGGCCTCGTCGCCCGGCGCCGCCGCCTGCTCCCCGGAGGCCGCGCCGGCCTCGGCGGCGGCCGCAGCAGCGCCCCCAGCGGCCTCGTCCTTGCAGCCTTCGGCCGAGGTACCGGCGGCGCCCTCGGCCTCACCGCCCTCTCCCGCCTCCTTCTTGTTCTTCTTGAAGGAGAAGCCGCTCAGCTTGAAAGACTTCTTGAAGGAAAAGCGCTTCTTTTTTTTTTTCGGGGTCTCGTTGCTGGGCGAGGGCGTGGCCCCGTCCTCGGCCTTGGGCGAGGACGTCGAGGAGGCGGCCGACGCAGCCTCCCCCTCTGCGGCCGTGGGCGAGCCGGGCTCGGCGGCCTCGCCCTCCGCGGGGGCCTCCTTCTCGGCCGGGCTGGCCCCGGCCTCCGGGGCGGCGGCCGGCTCATCTTTATCGGCCGCGGCGGGCGACGCCGCCCCGCTCCCAGCGGCCGCGGGCTCCTCCTTGTCGGCAGCCGGGGCGCTGCCGTTGGCCTGCAGCTCCTCTTTGGCGCCCGGCTCGGCGGCCGCGGGAGAAGCATCGCCGTTTACCTTCACGTGGCCGTTTTCCTGCGGGGGAGAAAAAGCGGGAGCGTAACTGAAGCGGCCCGGGCCCCACCGCTCCCGCCCCCATCTCGGGACTGGGAAAAGCCAACTTTCCCCCCTGGGCCCCCCCCCCTTTGGCTTAGGAGCCGCGGTCCCCCCCTTATAGGGAGGTGGAGCTGGATGCCCAGAGAAGAACTCTAGGAAGAAACGGGGCAGTGCCATTTGGGGCGCCTTAAAGGCACAGCAGTGGCCTCCACCACCCACCCAATACCCTACGGACTGAACAAGGCCAGGTCTGAAACGTGGAAAGCAAAGGGTAACCCAGGCCTGGCCCCACGGGCTTTGGGAAAACGGAGCCATGTAAACCACGACGCACCAAAAGGAACGCCGCCAAAGGCGGCCTGTGTCTACGTCGCACATCCCCTTTCTCCCTAAACGCTAAAGGGCTCTTGAAAATACCCAAGAACTCCCAGGGGGAATCACAGCGCCCCAGCCGCAAGCGTCAGGGCAGCGCGCGCCAAGGCCCTCCGCCCGCCCAGGGCCTGGGGTCGGCAGGGGGCGCTGCGCCTCCACCGCGCGGAGCTGGGCGCGGGCGGCGGGAGCGGAGGGGCGGGGCCGTCGGGCCACCCAGCCCTGCCCAGCCCGGCCCTGCCCGCTGGCCGAGGCGCCCCCGAGCCCGGATCGCGCTGCCCAGTCCACAAACAAAGCTCAGGTGGCTTGCTGGCATCCTGGTCGGAATAAAACCAACAAGGCAGGGGGAAACCCATTATTTCTGGTCTCCACTGTTTCCACGCCCACCTTCGCCCGCGATTCTGCGAAGCTGGGGCGCGCCCGGGCGTCTCATTTTGCATTTTTAACGGGTTCAAAGCCTTTTGGCAGAGCTTGCCTTCCCCATTAGGTAAGAGCAGGCGAAGCATCACGGCCTCTGCTCTAGGAAAATAGGCGTGGTGGGTGCCCAGCGTTTGCGAAGCAGCCACCCGTGGCCGACCTCTCCCGCCCACCCAACCGTGGCCATTCGCCTGGGTCTGGGCAGCGCCGGGGCGGCCCCTGCCGTGGTCGAGGAGCCACGCACACGAACAATCCCGACTGAAACACACGAACTGCCTCTTCTTGACCGTCTGGACAGGTTCTTCAAGGACCCACAATGTTCCCATCCCAGGGATGTGATTTAAAAGTCAAATGGGTGTGTAATTCCAGACAGCTATGGATAAAGATTTAGAAACAGTGGGAAAGCCCCATCGAAAGACACTGAAACCCTTTTGCCCAGCTCCAGCCAGCCGACTTTCCAAGAACCCAGGGCACACCGCCTCGTTATACAATAAGACAGCCCTTTCCTCCTCGCCTTTCTCCACCGCCATCCCATTGCGACCCCCCCCCCTCCCCCGACACACACACACACATACAATCACAACAGTTCAGAAATCTTGAAGGCTACCCAGTCTCGACAACAAACGCGAGAGCCACCCAAACACCTTTGTGCCTACCAAACACAAATGCAACCTGGCTGGGGCGGGGGGTGGGAGGGTGGGTGGTGGTAACACCTAGCGAGTCACGTTTTGCCAAGCTCCAAACACGCCATTTTAGGCGATTTATTATCCCTTCTTTCCTCCCGTCTACACAAGAATTCGCCAGGATTCTCCGGGAACCACTCCTTGTGGGTAGGGGGGAGACCCCTCCTATGAGAAATTGACAATTTAGGCTATCGCTTTCCATTCAACTTTCAGACTGGGAATCTAGCCACGCTCCTCTCCGCCGAATGCGCCTCAGGAGAGACCAGGACGAAATGGGAAGCAACGGGACTAGAGAAAGACACCAAAGAAACGACCAGTATCACAGGTAGAATTTACCTGCCCATTCGCTTTGGAAGGCGACGAGGCCACGGCCGCTTCCCCGGGCCTCTCCGCGGCGGCTTCTCCCTTCGCAGCGGTCTTGGAGAACTGGGCACCCATGCTGGCTTCTTCAACAAAGAAACTCAACAGATCCAAGGGGGGAACAAAGAGCCTCGGGTTGGTGTAACGACGGGGCGAGCGGCAGCAGCGGCGGCAGCAGCGGCGGCGGCAGCAGCAGCACACACACCGGAGGGAGGGGGGAGTGGGGGTGGCGAAGAGGACAGAACAGAACCGATTAAATACACTCCGGATAAAAAAATTTTAGTCGAAGAGATCAAAAAGCAGCAGCGCAGGAGGGAGGGAAAAGGGTGGAAAAGTCGAGCACAAAAAAAGGAGTCCAAGTGTAGTTTTTTAAAAAAAGAAGTAATAAAAAAAAATCCCAGATTTGTAGCCGCACTGTAGACAAGAGGAAAATGGAGAAATCTCCCTGGTTGCTAATAAGATGCGGGGTCCAACGCCCAAGTGCACAGATGAATGGGCTCGCGGGCGCTGACGCGGCCCCCGCGCGCGCCGGCCAATCCGCGCGCAGCACACAAAGCAGGGGGCGGGGCCTGAGCGCCCGGCGAACAATGGAGCCGCGCTTTGCAAACGGTTTGAAAATCAGCCACAGACTGAGAATTAATGTCCTCCAAATAAATAAATCAATTAAAAATACATGCCTCTCGCCTCTCTGCTTGAAAATAATAATACATCACTTGATTGGCTTGCTTTGTTTGTAATTAAGTAACGCGGGAGGGGGATATTCGTGGATGGGGGCGGAGAAAGCTTTAACTTGACTCGCTTTGACTCTCATGGTCTATATCCGTGTCTGTCTCTCCCCTCCCCCATCTTCCCCGTGTGTTTATGTATGTGTGTGTGTGTGTGTGTGTGTTAAGGACAATGGTTGGGATTTGTGTGCAGCATGTTTTCTTTCTCCCAGGTCCATATTGGTTTCACAGATACTGCACAGGGTTTGTTTTTTTTAACGGTTGCAAACGTTAAATCGTCCTAAATTGAGAGGTATTTAAACCACGAAGATCGAATTTCATCAAACGAGATCGCGAGTTAGAATTAGGTCTGTAGGCCAGATGTGGAAACGTAAAAGCGGCGAGCAGCTGAAGCCACGCTCCCTGCCCTATCCCACATTGGCATGAAATAGAATATTTTGAGATTGGCCTGCAGCGTTCATGAAATCTGCCCTTTCTGGCTACCCCAATTAGTAACTAGCTCCCCCCCACCCCTAACCATACAATACAAAGTGAGGGCCATTTACAAAAGATCGAAATGGTTCGCATTTTATCACTGTATGAGATGACATAATTAAATTTCCTCTATGGTGAAATGAGACAGCCTAGAGTGTACGAATCCATATTTACAGTTGGGATGCAATTTGCATCGATATGAATTGTTTTCAGCCTACTGCCACGATCGGATGGACTCTATTTTTGAACGTATGTGAATGTGCATGCAAGCGAGTGTACTCCAAGAACGGAGGGAGGCGGGAGCAAAGACATTCTAAACAACCGGATTCACGATTACAGTTCTAAGGAGAAATTGTATGTTGAGAGATAGCAAGATCCCTGAACGCTCTAAATGTAACTTGGGTTGGAGAAAACGCTTCTATAAGGCGACACAGGGTACTCCCATCTACTCCCCTTGCTACCGAAGTACTAGACGCTATTTGTGTGTGAAAGACATGGAACTGATTTAAAGAATGGGGCGGGGGGTGGGGCAAAAAATCAAGGATATACAGCCCTAATAAGCAGTCTCCTACCACCTACATTCTTGCTCCTCAAGTTTTTCACTCGTGTCCAAATCAGACCATCTTTTCTCGTTTACATTTAGTGGTCCTGAAATGAATAATCTTTCGCTTATGGAGGTCAGAAGCGGTCGAGGGGATGGTTGGTTCACTTCTCCTGGTTCTGGCTTTGAGTTCTGTTATATTTTCTGCTCGTTGTAGGGAAATGGGTCACGCTCTGAGTGAAAAAGATGGTTGGTTCAAGCCAATAACTCTTTGTTCAAGTATTGCTTTGAAAACCAGCAAGCTGCACATCGTTACACGAAGAAGCTTCGTCTTTTCACTGTCCACTTCCTTCAGATGCATCATTCAATCACAAAGTCATATTCCCCAGAGGTGATGGAAAGACGTTTCCGAAGAAGTTTACCTTGCCAAACGTGTTATCAATCTTTTAAAAAGGAGCCCGCGGGCCTGGCAGAAGACCCCAGCCGCCGGATGGACGTGAATCTCCCGTATTAGCTGAGTTCCAACTTGAAAAGCCAACTGGGCTGATCCAAAACCACCATCCAGGCGATTCTCAAAAGCTCATTTAAGGCTGAAGATTTCCCCCCACCCCCAACGTGAATCATGCCCCTTCCTCTGCACCCCCCTCCCCGTTTAACTTGGGGTGATTGCCAGCTCCCTTTCGGATTTTCTCGCAGACGCGTCCTTAGCCATCTCCCCACTTGGGGGCCGCTTTTATCGCTCCTTTGTTACCAGGCTGCCGTGTAGCTTTCCCCCGTTTTCTTTCTCGAATGCCTATTTGCCTGGTATCGGCTTGTCTCCCTGGCAACGGCCAGGGATGATTCGGAGCCCCGGGCTGGAGGAGGGGGAAGGGGCGGAGCCGGGAAGGAGCTGGGAGGTGGTGGAGGGGAGATGCTGAGCAAGAGACAGTGAGACAGACAGCAAAGCAGATGGCCGCATGAGGGGGCGGGGTCCAGGCAGGGAGCGGGGGGGCGGTACCCCAGGCGTCTGGGGCGCGAGGGAACCAATCAACTTCCGCAGCAGCTCCGGGGCTAGAAAACAAGTGTAAACACTTAGATTCACTCCGCACAAGCGGTCCCTAGTTTACCGTATAAAAGATGTTTTCCCTTCCGTACATAGCGCATTGCTAGCACAGGTTGGAAAGCCGGACGATCCCCAGTAACTGGCAAGGGGAGGCGGTTTGCTTGTCGCTGCGGGGCGGGGGGTGCGGGGAAGGAGCACCGGGCTAACCTCTAACTTCTTCCAGTGTCTGACCAGCCAAGGGAAAGCCAAGAACGCGGAGAGGGGTGACGAGAAAGGAAGGGGCTGGGAGATGGGAAGAGGTCCTTTTGCATCAGAAACTACGGAATGGCAAGGAAGGACCGCCAGCAAGACTGGAACCAGTAGGAAGTTGTGCAGTGTAAAGATCTAGTTCCTCAGGAGTTTGGTGTTCTCAGCTCCAGAGCTAAAGGTTTCAAATGAAGTGAACATTATATAAATATGATTTACATAAATATTCAAGAACCCAAGAGGTCATAATGAAAACATAAAACTGTAAGCAACTCACAAGGAGGAAGCAGGCATTTAGTGTTTGTTTTTTAACCTTTGCACTGGTTATTTAAGATGCTAATAATCTTTCTATGGTTTTCCCTAGAAAAAGAAAGTTTTATTTAGGATACCTCAAAGTTATTTTTTCCTTAAAATGTTAGGACTGGAAGACATTTTTAGAGATCCTTCCACGAATTGTTTAGGACCTGTTGTGTGCAAACACACTGATCTCGGCCTTGTAGAGCTTACGTTTTCCTAGCGTTTACCAGAGTTAAAGTGTACGTCGGGATCATCTAGTTGCATCCTTCACTTAACACATGAAGAAATAGACCCAGGGAAGTTGCCGGATTTTGTCAGATGGTAGAGCCAGGAACGCAGCTCTTCCCCTTCATGATTCCAAGTCCCCAGCTTTTCCACTACTGCTTAGTGCTGTCCAGCCTTCCTTCATGGACTGTGCCATCACTTCACTGCGTAGGTTGGTTCTTCATTCCTATTTAATCAGCTCCTGCTGAGTACCAGGAAGAGGGCTAGACATCAGCAGACATCAGGGAAGAACATGGACAATTGGTGCTTCCTCTCATGCAACTTCCACTTTGTATTATCTTTTACAACTTATTAGGATGTAGAGAAAGAGAACAAAAGATGATGTCAATTGTGTGCTTAAAAAACAATACGAAAAAAAGATGAGGACCACTTTCTAGATTCCAAATTGAATATGCTTTAAAAAAAAATCTGAAAGCTTTAATTCAGCATTCATATATTCACAAAACATAAGATCCTACTATGTGTGTGATGCTGTGCTCTTATTTTTCATTTTAGGTTTTATATTACCTGAACTTTAATTCCACAGAGATGGATTCTTTTAGAATACAGTGTGGAGCAAAGCAGACACAGCCCCTCATTCATTCAACAGATATTTATTGAATTGTTATCATGTGCTAGGCATTTGGAACATTTCAATGAACAAAAGGGACAACAAATCTTTATAGAGTTTACACTCTGGGGAGAAAAACAAAATTTAATAAATATAATTAAGCAAATTTTAAGAAATATGAGAAGTATGTAAGTGTTCTGAGGGAGATGGGAAGCTAGAACAAAGTAAGAGAGATGGGAGTACAAGGTTAAAATTCTATATAGGAGGACAGACAAGAAAGCCCTCATTGAGGAGATAAACTTTCAGCAGACTTGAAGAGGTGAGGGAGCTGATAATGGTGCTTCTAACTTAGCAAGAGAGAGAAAAGTCAGAACTGAACAAAAAGATCACAAATAGATATGTAATTGTAAATGGTCATATGGCTCTGAAGGGAAATACAGGGTGCTATAAGATAGTCTAATTTAATTATGAAGGTTAAAGAAGGCCTTTTTAAAGGTGTGACATTTAAAAGGAAACCTAAAGGATGAATAAGCATTAGCTAGGTAAAGAGGTGGAGAGCTGTGTTCAAATGAATAAAATTGCAAAGTCACTTAGGAAGAAACAGTTCAATTGGGTTTGGGAGGAAGCTCAAGAGATAAATTTGAACATATTTTAAGGTGTCTGTAAAACATCCTAGTGGAAAAGTTAAGTGCTCAGATATGAGTCTGGTGCTCAAAGAGTGCTTTGGGATGTAAATGTAGATTTGTTATCATTCCATACATAAATATTTTCCGAAGCCAAGTTATAAAAATATTCAAAAGACAGGAGAATGCTGAATCACACCCTGAGTACCTTCTGCTTTAATGGACTGGGTAGATGTTTGTCAATTATACCTCAATAGATCTGCAACAAAAGTAACATAGCATAATAAAGTAAAATAAAAATAAATGAATAGAAAAAAAAAGAGTTTGGGTAGAAAAGGAGACTAGCCAGCAAAGAAGACTGAGAAGGAACCCCCAAAGAATAGAGAGAAAACCAGGAAAGTGCAGTGTCAGGAAAATCAGTGAAGGCAGTGTTTCAAGGGGGAGTGGTTATTTTTGTCAAATGTTGTTGAGAAATCAAATAAAATAAATACTGGAAATTTTCCATTGGATGTTGCTGGTTGCAGAACTGTGTTCTGTATACAAGATATAGAAGTTACTAGTTGCAGGCTCCGGAGCAGTTTTGTAGTATGTTGAGAGGAATACAGATTTAGTGTGCTGAAGAGTAAATGGGAGGTGAGGAAGATGACCGCATAAATAGTCCCTTCTTTGCGAAGCTTGACTGGATAAAGGGCGTAGAGAGACAGGGCAGTGGTTGGGAAGAGGTGGTATAATGATTTTTTGTTGTTGTTTTGGGTTGTATTGTCTTGGATGGAAAATACTAGAGCAAAGCTAACTGCTCTGGAAATTAATCCAGTAGAAAGAAAAATGTTGTAGATACAAGAGCGAAAAGGAGTAATGAATGGAATGAGGTACCTAAGAATGCAGGAGGGGATGGAGATATAGAACACATGCTGAGAAATTGGCTTTTGAAAGACACCCTGCTCCTTTTGTATAACAGAGGAAGAGGAGGATGGCTGCAGATTTACTGGTAGGAAGATGAGAGAGTTCCCTTTTGATGGTTTCCATTTACCTTTGAAGTCATTAGCTTAGGATGAAGAAGAGAAGGGTGAGTTGGAGTTTAATTATATTATAGGAGGTATGGAATAATGATCAGGAAGCATAGGATTGAGACTTTTGGGCATAGTAAGACTTTAGAGCAATAATGAGTGTCTGAGGTTGATAAATCCCAATGATGCTTAATCAGTATATCAAAGTTTCTCATATAAACTTTTAACTGAATGATAGTATCCATTACAATCCTAAGGTTCCCAGCCGTTTACTTTCCCAACCTATATCAAATTTGTATTATACCTATACAGTGAATATCTCCACAAAAGTAAAATGTAGATTCAAATGGCTCTGCTCTTACAAATTAATCCCCATTTCAGTTAAACCCATATGATTTCATACAGATATGTATAAACAG